CAAGAGTCTTTTCCAGCACCACAGTTCAAAGGCATCAATTCTTCGGTGCTCAGCCTTCTTTATCACTAGTTTTATACTATTATTAGTAGGGGTACGCAAAATGAGTTTTAATTTGAAGCCATTGTTTTTGAGTTTGAAATGGGTTGTTCCAACCATTTTTGAACTGTTTTCAGCTTGAAACAACTCTGATTCAAGTTTGAAACGGGTATTTTGAGCTCAAAACAGAGCTATTCCAAACTTGGACTTCAAAAGTGGCCAGCCCATTTTGAGCTCAAACTGATTGTTTCAAACTAAAAATATGGTGTTTTTAGCTTGATACTTTTCAAATTTAAAAGGTTTTGCACACCTTTCAAATGATTATTATATATTTATTCATCAAATTTATATGGTTTTGTCAACACGCCTGGAGATCCAGTGATGGCATGGAGCCTGTGAGTTGGTTATGCTGCTAGTAATTGTCTGGATTATACTCTCCCACAGATGATGTTTTATGGTTTTAAATTGTTTTAATTGGTTTTTAATGGTTTTTCTAATTGTTTATTTGTAGCTGTTTATTGTTTTTTGTTATTTAATTGGGTGATACCCAGAGTCATGTATATGAGATGAGTGACTATATAAATTGAATAAATAAATAAATATCTTGCTTTTCCTCCAAGGAGCTTGGGGCAGCAAACATGGTTGGTATTCCATTTCATTCTCATAAAATTGCTAAACAAGGGATCCCCAGCAGAGTGAACTGGGTTAAGCATAAAAGTAATGATAATGCTGGAAAGAGCATTGTAAAAATTTGGATGGCAGAGATAGCGCCTGTCAATGAATGGTATAGAAATGGGCTAATTGCTCTCCCTCAGCCCAACCTATCTCACAGGATTGTTGCTGTGAGGAAAATGGGATGAGGGGACGTTTCGTACACTCCCTTGAGCTCCTGAACAAAGGCTAAGATAAAAATCTATAAATAAATAAACAGACGTTAGCATTCAAGAAAAAAGTGATGAAACGGACATCGTAAACACTGTGAAAATGTTGAAAAATGTAGGCTGTAAGTGAAGATGTTGTACCTGGAGAATTGTTCAACTGTTAACAGTTAGTTAATAGCACTGAAGATGTTACCTAGCCAGGTAATGAAATGTCTGCAAGAAAACAACCAAGCTCAGAGAACCCCAAGGACTCCACAATTGTTAAATTATGTCTAGGGTGTGTTTATATACTGGCTGTGCAATTTGTTTGTGAGGATTACATCTCTGCCTGATGACTGAAGGAATGGCATCCCTGTTCGTTCCTTAACTAAAGTGAAAGGTAACAAAAGACAATGAGAAATGGCAGGAAGATCAATTTGTTTAGCATGGCCTGAGAAGGCATTTGGCAGAATTCTGATCAGAAGGAGATAAGAGGTAACAAGAAAAAAACTGGGGAGATGCAGTTCATCTTTATCTCAGAAGAGGGTGTTTAGGCCAAATCTGTGCTCTGCAGCAAGTCATTGAGAAATGTATGAATGTGACAAAGCAAGCTTATTTCAATTTTGTTGATTTAGAAGAAGCCTATGGCAAAGTAAAAGAGGCTTGAATTACAGTATGGAGCTTTGACACAGATATGGAGTTCAAGGTTGGTTACTTTACTCAGAAGAGAGAAAAGTCATAGTAAAGCACATGTGAGAATAAAGAGAATGCTTTGTGAATGGTTCAAGACTGAACAGGGAAACAGACAAGAATGTGTGTGTGTGATGTGTCTCCTTGATTGTTCAATGTATTTGAAGATAAATGTCCGAAGAACGCTTGTGGTGATATTAGAGGTGTGTCAGTCAGGGATATGAATGTGTGATTGGCAACAGACGTTAGGTAGACTGCACGATCCAACAAGGCATATGGGTTTAAAAAGGAATGTATCAAAGGGCAAGGGATTGTATTTCACAGAGAAAACTGTGGTTAGATGGAGTTGGTGAATCCCCCAAAAGAGAGAAGTAGATGTTTATAGAACAAAGGGCAATGTATGAATCAGTAAAAAGATGGTAGAAGCAAAAGTGATTTGCAAAGACAGGAAAGTTGGTGTAGATTAGGCTCCCTTTTCTTATCACCTGCTTCCATTTTGCTTAATGCCTGTTGCATAGCATTGCTTCCTCTGAAAGAGAATAGTGTGATGAGTATGTATGATGCCCATTCATTCATTCATTCATTCATTCATTCAAGAAGAGTAGGGAGTGACTGAACAGCAACAAAACCCATAGGCTTTGCGTGGTGTAAGAGGTGGAGACAATGACTTGCTCAGAGCTATCCAGTCAACTCTAGCTGAATGGGGATTTGATTTAAGGTCACAGAGAGAGGGGCACAGAAAAGCAAGCTTCTATATTTCTCATTTCCAGGTCCAGAATCTTTGGGATCAATTACTCTGGTCCAAATTTAAGTTACATTCCAAGTATTAGTAAAAGGAGTACAGAATACATCTGACATAATCTAGAATACTGCTAATTCCAGGGACAATGAGACACCCTTCTCACTATCTCCATTATTGTATTCTAATAGAATCTAGGACAGTATTTCACAACCTCAGCAACTTTAAGCCATGTGGACTTCTACTCCCAGAATTCCCCAGCCAGCACAGCTTAAAGTTGCTGAGGTTGAGAAACACTAATCTAGGATGATCCTCCCCACCCCCTTTAAAGATACAATACATTATTTGGGGGGGAAAGAAGTGTTCCTTTCATGTAGTTTTTCTCCTGTGCTGGAAACACCCATCATTATTTTGCATTCAGTCTCGTGTTCTCATAAAGCACAAAAAAGAGCCAACCCCCTTCTTTTTCTTTTTCTTTTTCTTTTTCTTTTTCTTTTCTAGCTTGGGTACATGGAAAATAGAGGCCAACTATGAAAATACCCCACAGACAACCTTCAGTGCTGAATTTGAAGTCCAGAGGGCTGGTAAGACAGGGTCAGAATATTCACAATTTTCTTATCTCTTACCTTTCATAAACATTCATATTCATCTCTTCCTTTGCTTTCCTTCCAGAGTTGCCAGGCTTCGAAGTCAGAGTGGAACCTTCTAAGAAATATTTTTATATTAACGAGAAGGAGTTCAAAGTTTCCATCATTGCCAGGTAGATGTAATTCTGGAAAGCAAGAGAAGAACTGGTACAAATCCTCTAGATTCTGATCAACTTTTATTAATCATTTGAAATAATCAATAATCAGACCTTGGTTCAATATACTGTTTCCTGGAAGCATTGCTTCCATGTGAGGTGTTACTGTCACACATCTTTGCCAAAAAAGTATAGGGTAAATACCTTTTCCTCAGCTTCAGAACTCTTTTAAATAGGTGAATGTGATTAATAAACATTTTATACATTCTCTTTCTTTCATATAAAAGAGAACGTCTCTTCTGAAATGACACTTCTCATTTCACTTGTACACTGTCTTCAAAAAAGAGAAAAAATGCGCTTCTTTCAAAAACAATATTTTATCTACATGCAAATTATAATGTAGTTATGCATAGCAATCCCATAGGACTCTGGAAACATCATCCATGTTTTCTGAAGCCTGGCCAGGCCTGAGCCCACCAGCATATTTAGCAAGTGGCTCCAATGAAAGGAACACCAGCTTCATTGGTGGCTTCTATTTCCTTCTTGAGGGTGTGCTAGGAATGAGAGAGCTTGGACTTTGATAACCCTTGCACAGCAGCATGAACCTGCTGCAGGAAGTAAGACAGAGGGGTTAGTGGTGGTTGTATGAAAGTGTCCTTAGAGTTAAGCATGGTTTCAAGAGATTTTTACATCCGCAGTTACAATGCCTGTTATGTGCAGTCGTGACAAAGAAGGAGGATCTCCCCAAATTGCTCTAGATCCTAACCTAGAACTTTTGCTTTTTGTGGCTTCAGCATAGCAACTGTTTGAATGGAGAATATTCTGTGAAGCACAAGAACTACGCTTTTTCAGGAAGTTGTTGGGTCTTGGATGGCGCAAACATCCCTTCTGCCCACTCTAATAGCTTATGTTATTCTTTCCTGCTAATTCTCTTAATTAACAAATTTTAAAAGTTTGCTTACCTAACTTTCATAAAATACATATTTTGCCATCTCATTTCTCCTTCTAGGTTCCTCTGGGGGAAAGGAGTAAACGGTGTGGCCTTTGTCCACTATGGAGTACAGATGGATAATACAAAAAATACTATTGCAGGCTCGCTGAAAAAAATTTTGGTAGGAGCCATATATTATATGCATGTGGGACAGGAAGACAATATAACTTTGGATGTTCATAGTGGTATTTGGGCATTTAACATATATAACAAACTGTAGCTTTTGGGGGGGGGGGAAATCTGAAGTGTAGAAAAGTCATTTCTCTGCAGAGATAAAATTCAAGGTAGGACCCAAGTCTACTCTCTCCTGAACATTGTAGGAGTGCTATGATTTCTTTTTGAGATGTAATGACCAGAATAATACAAACCATTCTATGTGGCCTTGTCCCATTGATTTGTAAAATACCCTATATAGAGAGATGGAATACTTTTAATAATTCTGATTCCATTGATTCCTAGTTTGAAGCTGATGATTAGTGTCCTTGATATGGTTGGTAGATTAACCTTGCTGAATGGCACATTGATGCCGTTTGCAAAGCAGACACTTTTTCTCTTGCTGCACACACTTTTTCCATATGGATATATTTTGGTACATGGACATCACCAGTCCTGCTATCAAGCTAGGTTCTGTGACTCTGCAGTCTTGCAGTTTAGACCCAGTTCTTGGGCATATGACTTCTGTAAGAATAATTCTGATGCCTGACCCAAATCATTCTTTGCTGCTTGGTCAATCTGGAAATATTACCTGGCTTAGGATCATCCATGTACCTAACCAATAAAAGCTCTGTTGGATCAGGCCATGAGCCCCTCTAGTCTAGAACTGGGTGTCACACAGAAGCCAGCTGGACAGAAGAGTGATAGCTTCCTTTCACTGTTGATTCCCAGCATCAAATATTTCAAGCATGCCTCCTACAATTGAGGAGCTGATAAACAAATGGTAACCTTGGATAGTCTTATCCTCCATGAGCCTCTCCAGTCCCTTTTTAAAACATCCAAATTGGTTGCTATGACAACTGGTGGTGAATTCCATGGCTGAACTATGTTTTCCTCAGTTCTCAATTTCCCTGAGTTTAGGGATAACTTTGAGGTGGTCTTAACGTGGGTAGCACACGTATTGTGGACTTCCAGTAATCTCTGTACTTGCTTGGGCTCTAGACATCATCATCATCATCGTCATCATTATCATCATCATTATTGTTAGACTTATTACCTCTCTTGGGAGCCATTACACAAAAGAGATCAAATATTAATTTCTCAAGTTCCAGCCTTTCACATTGTCTCTGTCTTTGATACTTTAATTTCGGCATGCATATCACTACTGTATTGTGCTCATGAATATTTGCCAGAAGATAGTATGTCGCACCTAGAGGGACACAGAGTAATTGCTACTGGACCTTTCATAAAACATCTGAAGAACAGGACTGCTCCCACCTCTGACTGGTCAGCTTGTTACTCTTGTATGTGTGCTGGCACAGAGCATGCAAAAGTGAAAATGAAGTGGCTTGCCTATAATGTGGACTCCAAGGAATCTCTCCACCTGTCCACCTTTCCCACCGCAAAGCTGCTTTTTATCTTAAACATGCAGCAGTCTCAAAATAACCGAAGAAGCAATATTGGCTTGACAACTGAAGCCTGCCATGATACAGGCTTCATCAGGTATAAGGGATGCAGGCTTTTCTGAAGTTTTTCTGCCATGTTGCATAAGGGCAGAAAAACATTTATACATGAAGCAGGCTGACTTTTCCTCCAGGCCTGCTGTAGGTGAGATGACAATGTCTTTTTATTTTTCAGATAAATGATGGAAGAGGAGAAGCAATCCTAACAACAGCTATGATGCAGAACAGATTTCACAACCTTACTGAACTCATTGGGCATTTTCTCTACGTCTCTGCAACAGTGTCGACCGAATCTGGTAAGCAATGGTTTTGTCTTCAGCTCAGATATTAAGTAATCCATACACAGGAAAATATAATATGAATGATCTGGTGTGGGTCAGAGAATCAGTTTGGGACTAGTGTTTCTGATTTTGATTCTGCAGCTGTTAGAAGGAGCCAAAGTTTATTTCATCATAGAATCAAGAGTAGGAAGGGATTGTTTAGACCAGGAAATCCAACTCCATTTTTAATACAATAAATCCAGTACACATTTCCAATAAATAGCAATCTTCCCTCTGTTGCAACACCTCCAATAAAGAGATCTCATTTCCTCCATTAATAATAGGTTCACTTTTTTAGCAGATTTGTATTCATAGACTAAACTGATCTAGATATTGTTTTGTACACACTAGATACTATTTCTGAGTATGATTATATGATAAGCAAAGTGTCTATGGCTTTGTCAGTGTCCCAGGATCTTCACTAATGAAGGCAAGGTTGAATAGATTTCTAACAATAGAAAAGAAAAAAAGCTAGATTTGGAATACATAAAACTTGCTTTGAAATCATCTCTCACCCCTCCACCATTGCCATTGCCTGCCCAAATTATTTCATGTATATTTCATCCACAGCTCTTTTTTCATTTCTTATTCCTCCAGGACCCTACTTAATAGTGACTGAAGAAGCTTCCTTCAACATTGTGGCAATTCCCTATGAGATTAACTTAACAAAAACATCCCAGCACTTCAAGCCAGGGATGCCCTATGATCTGATGGTAATATCAGTCTCTTGGCCTCCCAGGGCCCAGAAGTCTTCATGTTCTCTTCAATCTACTTACAATGGAAATAACAGTTAAATGGAAGGAGAAGAATGGTTTAGATTCAGCCAATATTGTGGCATTCCACATTCCTTCATCTCTTTCTTTCTCAGGTGTATGTTTCCAACCCAGATGGCTCTCCAGCTCCTAAAGTCTCTGTAGTGGCAGAGCTCCTAGATACTACCGAATGGCAGACTGCAGTTACCAACAGTGATGGAGCTGCCCTACTGATCCTAAACGTTCCTCAAGGCAAGAAAGAGATAAGTATTCGTGTGAGTCATCCTCAGAGCATGTGCTGAATTCTATTCTCACAGACTGTAGTTAAGATCTTCTAGGGCTCTGCAAAGCTCTGGATGCAGTCTCCAAAAAGTGATTCACGGCATATAGGAGCATAAATACAATACCCGTCTATAACCTCTTAAAAAAAAACCTGGAGCTTTTCCAGAGATCTTTTTTCATCCTGTAAAGTTTCATCATTCACCCAGCAAATTCAGATGACAGTGTAGATTAAACAAACAAATGAATGAAGTGGGCACTGGTGAGCCTGTCACAAAAGCCTCTCCTTCCCTGAGTTTTGCCAAGTCAAGGCAGCTCTGCTCTGTAACTCAACCTAGTGATGGGAGCCATGGAAAAGCCTTTTGCCCTTTGGGTGTTGATTTTCAAATTCCCTAAGTGCCACCACCATTATTCTGACTCACAGACTGTGGGGAGGGGGGAGTGATGAGTCTCCTTGAACTCTCAGAGAAAGATCTCTTCTCTCTATGGGATTCTACAAGCACAGTCCTGTGTTTTGAGAAACGCTTCATAATTTCTTCCAAATCCATTTACTGCTCCTCGTCCTCTCCAGGTAAAAACCAACGATCAAAGCCTCCCAGCTGAAAATCAAGCCAGCAAAACAATAGTGACAACAGCCTATGAAACCCAAGAGGGATCTGGAAACTACCTTCACGTACAAGTTCTAAATACTGGTGTCAAAGTTGGGGACAATCTACAAGTCAAGTTCATCATAAACCCAAATTTACAGACTGAGTATTTTACCTATCTAGTAAGTAGTAATGTTATAAAAAAGAATGGAAATTCAGTGTTCTATCCATCCATCTATCATTTATCATTTTTGCACTATGCAGAAGGACTGTCAGCTACCAATCCCTTACTGGAAAATAAAATGACAGTAATGAACAAAACCTCAGGTTTGAATTTCAGATAATGCATACACCAACTGTGAAAGGATGGTGCTGATATTCTGTTAGAGCCTGATGGTGACCAAGTCTTCAGGAAATTGGATGCAAGATCCTGCATGTGAAATTGAGAGCCAGGGACAAGCTGAGTTTTTTGAGGATGTACTGAGCCATCTAGTTCCCTCCCCAAGCTCCTTGACCTGGGCTAGTAGTAGAAAGAAGCTAGGATGTCATAGTGGAGAATAAATATAGCTCAGGGCTGAATTGCTGGATGTTCTCTGAACATGATTTTTTTCCCCCTGAAGTTGTTTCATTACCAGGCTAGGTAGCATCATCAGTGTAGGGGTGTGTGAAGTTTGCTGGCTGTTTATTTGTGGTAGCTTGTCTTACAGCCTTGATCCTGGCTATTGTTTTTTCCTGGATTGCTTTTTTTGGGTGGGGTATTTTCTTCTTTGACTGTTCCAGAACTGGTTCCAGCTTATCTGAGTGTTGGTTACTAGATGTGCAGTAAGAAAGGATGGGTTTAGGTCTGTTGCTTCCTTTCTTGAATGGTTTGTCTTATTTATTTTATTTGTTTAAATTATGGTCTGGGACGAAGTCACACAGTGTAAAAATACAGTATACCATTAATTCATACATACATAACACTACATACATATATAAAAGGAAGAAACCCTATAAAATTAACAATGCATCGAAGGCATTGGAGTCTGTTTCACACATCCTTTGAAAGTGCCCACTGTACTCGCATTAGCACTCAGGGCTGATACACCCGCTCTTGAATCTGATCAGCTCCATTCATGATGAGGAGACTGAGGAATGGCTGACAGAGAGAAGCTTATCTCAGTGTATCTGTTAATGGCCGGTATGCCTCAGTGCCATGCCTGGAGGAATTCTCGTGCCTTTTTGGATGTGATTTAGTCTAAAATGTTTACAGTTTTCTGACTGAAAATGTGGTTGACCTGCTTAGTGTGTTCTGAAGTTAAGGAGATTTTACTGGATCTTGCCAGCTGATGTTCATGGATGCAATCTCTCATTTCTCTGCCTGTTTGCCCATACAGTGGCTTTCCCCATCCAGGCATTGCATTGTAAATTGTAAATGGCTCCTCTTGCAGATTGAAAGCTGAACTGGTTTACAACAACTGTGTGTTGTTATCCATTGATTTTACCTCATATTGCACATAGGACTGAAAGAGTGTTGTATAATAGGAGTGTACAGACTTTAAAAATTATTTGGAACATGTGCTTTGGATCTCATGCAAGCCACCCAAGTTTCTCTTATTCATTAAAGTCTCTTATTCATTGAAGCGGTGTCTTTTTCAGGTTTCTTTAAAGAATTAGCTCATACTATAATGCTTAAAGTAGCTGCTGCATGGACCAAGTATGGCCCCTATTCCCATTTCTCAGGCCCCAGAGAGCATCATTGGTTCGACAGCAAAACCACTACTTCTGTTACACTTTTGTTTGTGTGCTAAGAAAGTGAACAATAGATATGTTTAAACTTCCACAAATCTTTTTCAGGTATGAAGCCAACATTGTCCAAAACCAGAGATGGTCTTGGGTACAGCTTCCAGAGACCTCTAGCAGTTACTATAAAATTTTAACTTTTAATGTGAGAAAATGGGGACACTGGTAAACTTGAGCCATGTCATCTATATTTACTCTTCATTAATATCAATGAAATGTGAATGTAACTCACAAGCAGGGCCTCCATCCTCCCCACGGATGGCTTGGGGATGGCCAGGATCCAGGTTTGTTACATTTCAGTAATTTAACCAGTTGTTATCTCTTTCTGCCATCAGATTTTGAATAAAGGAAAGGTGTTAACTGCTCAGAGGCAGCCGAGGCCAAACGGACAGAATGAGGTGACTCTGTTTCTGCACATCACTCCCAATTTCATCCCTTCCTTCCGGATTGTGACTTACTGCCTAATAGGAAGCAAAGAGATTGTGGCTGATTCAGTCTGGGTGGATGTGAAGGATACCTGCATAGGAACAGTAGGTTATCATTCTGACCCACTTCATGTCAGAGTCTGTAAGCACTGATCTCTTTGGAGGGGGAGGAGGGAGCCTCGCGTGGGTCTGTTCATGGAAGAGATGTCTGGAGAGGCAGTGGTGAGCACCACTATGCCAGCAGCCACAACTCGCACTGATCTCTTCTATAAGTACATAAACAGTAGCATTTCTATTAGGCAGGCTAGCAACCTCTTCTAGATTTTTTTTTCCTGACTTAAAAAAAAAGTTATTCCAGTTTATATCTGGGAAACACACTCCTGGTTGTGTGTTGGTTTTGCTTTTTTGGCTTTTTAAGATTCATTTTGCATGTGTGACTTCTCAAGGATATCAAGGCACTCACTTTTTAAAATAATTAAATAAAAAACAGGTCCAGGAGGAGACAAACTGAACAGAAAAACTTGGCATGAGGTTGATCATAGCTTTTGAGTTTATGCCTGCTTCTTACTCTTGCAGGAATACTCATTTATTTAAATGACAGGGTGATATCCCCTGCCCCCCACAATTCAGTTCAGTACCAGCATGGAAGCAGGGGGTCACAGGGAGAGTAGGTAATCTATGGGTCTTTAGCTATTGCTGCATTTCAGTTCCATCTGCTTCTGCAAATAGGGACAGTGGTCAAGGTGATAAGTTGTGGTTGTCATCTTGCTTCAAACTAGATTTCTACCATACTTGGGATTATTATTATTATTATTATTATTTTTAAATAAGGCCCAATGGAAACACAGAAATAATAAGACATCTAGTATAGCCTTGAATAATGGAGAGAATCATTGCACGCACCCGTGTCATTGCATGATTTATCTTCCATCATTATCCTCAATATAAACTCACAGCACCAGTTGCTCAAACTTTGGATCTGGACCTACCTCTGGGTCTCTGCATTGCTCCAAGTGGGACTCCCTTCCTCATCATTCTCCCTCCCCCCCTGCGCATGCTTCCAGTTAGATGCTGAAAGAAAAGTTACAGGCAAATGGCTGCAAAGAAAGAAATTAACACGTTGTTGTTTTAAAATTAATCATAATTTATATTTTTTCTTGTCTGAATAAATGTTTCCCATGTAAAATTGGGCTTTTTAAAAAAAAGAGATAAGAACAGGTTGCTTAAAGTAATGGTTGTGTGATCTCTGTGCAGTCACCCTTATGGGTTTGGCACCCACTCCGAGCCTTGCTAGGAACCGTCTAAGCCTTAGGCAATTTGAAACGGGAAGCCCCCACCCCACCAGGTGAGGCCCTTGCTCTTCCCAAATGTAGCAGTCCTAGCATTAGGATCATCTTCCATGGTAACTACCTACAGAGGGGACAGGAAGGGTGTGCTGAAAAGTGCAAATGACCATTTAAGGAACCACAGTTACAGGCAAACAACCTGCTTTTTTTTTTTTTTCACTGCAAGGTTTCATATCACAATATGTGCAACCACTGCCAGTCGTTCATGCACCCATGTTAGACCTGTACAGATCCCATTCCTGGCAGCGCCAATTTAGGTGATTGTATATGTGTGTTGTAGTGCTTTAAGGATGGAAACAGGAGCAGTTTGCCACCCTGAGGTCTCCTCTTCTAATTCCCACCCATCCTTATCTGTGAAAAACAACTGTACTGCCAAAAATCAACCGTTTTACTGCTGAATTTTGGCAAGAGTCTTAGTGGGTGCGGGGGCCACAAATGGAGCGTCGGGGAGGTACACGTGGACTGCTGATTGCCAACTCTTTAAAAAAAACTCTCTTTTTTTCTTAAGGAGAAAAGAGTGGAACCAATAAGGGTCAAAAGCTGTCACTATTAATGATGTAGCCATCCCTAGCAAAGCTTTGTGCAATGAAATATCCTTGAGCATCAACTATTTCAGAGACACACTTCTGATTAGGAGTTTTGTGTCTACACCGATGATTTCTGTTTAATAATAATAATTTTTAAAAAGATGAAGGTGACTGATCACTTTGGAATGACAGTATAATCTGGTGGCTCTGTAAAACTACTATAAATGAAGTGTATGTATGGTGTTAAAAAGCCGGTTTGGATATAGCCTTTATGTCCCAAGGCGTAGCTATTTGTTTTTTCAAGGAATGGTACCTATGTTTCCAGCTGAACAACACAGATGAAACCCTAAGGTCAGGAAAAAAAGCCTTCAAGCTGCATCCTCACTTGGTTCCAAAAATGGAAGAGGAGAGACTGAATTATCCTCAACTATTTCAGTGATCAATAGAAGAACCTGTTTTCCCAAAAAAAGAGTCAGCCAGGCACTTTCCTTTTCTCACATTTGGCTCCTTCGTTGTCTGTGTTCCAATAGTTGGTCCTGAAAGGAGAATCTAGCAAAAAAGAAAACTACCTTCAGCCATCCGCAGCAATGAAAATAAAACTGGAAGGAGATGCAGGTTCTCGTGTTGGTGTTGTGATCATGGACAAAAGAGTCAATGTGCACAGGATTACCCAAAAGAAGGTCAGGAGAAGTTAACATTCCTCTCCAAGACATTTCTTCTGCCCCTTAACCTGGCATGGCAATTAAGGTTAATTGCAGGGGAGGTTATACTGTTTTACATGTAGTTTCCTATTGATTAAAAAAACACTTTGCTCCCTTATGGGTTCAATAAATCAAATACTGCTTCTCCCCCAGTACAGGAAAAGATATGGAGATACACCTGTTTTTCTTTCCATTTTCATATATTCCATATTAGATATGGGAAAGTGTGGAAGAGAATGATATTGGATGTACCCCTGGTGGTGGCAGGAACAACCTCGCCGTGTTTACAGATGCTGGACTGGCCCTTGAGACCAACATAAAGCTTTCCACATTGATAAGATTAGGTATCAGTGGCTTGGGGTTTGGGGAACCTAGTGGACATGTATGAGTGAAGCTAAGAAAAGTGCCCATCCCACTAGATCGGATCGAGTAGGCATGCTCCAGGACCCTTCCCTGAAATCTTGCCATCTAGTGGGACCTCGGAAGCATGCCTTTTCCACGGCTGCCCCTGCCCTGTGGAACGCCCTCTCTCCAATGATTCGGCAGGCCCCCACCCTTCTAGCCTTCTGGAGGGCCATCAAGACCTGACTTTTTACCCAGGCACTGGAGTAGAATGAGAATATTTTGGGTTGGTTGTTGGGGCATCCTAGGAGAATAAGATGCCAGGTTTTTAGTTTTTGTTTTATGGCTTTATGACTTTGTAGTTCGATTGTCATGACCTGCCCAAAGTTGTGCTCTAAGACGAGCAGCTATACAAATCTTTCAAATACATTTTAAAAACCTGGAATTCAACAGCATCTGCTTTGATAACCAAAAACCTTGACTGTTCTTCTCCCCAGATCGAAGGTGTCCTCAGCATACAAAACGCCATCGCCGCTCTATACAGCTCTATAAAGCAAGCACAGGTATGGGGCAAAATGCAGAAAGTGTTCTATACCACCGCTGAAGAGAAACCTTAAAGACTGATCACTGTCCTTCTTGCATGTCTCCTTTGTTGAGGAACTTTCTTTCTGCAAGCTGGCTTCTGTTTCCTAACTCTCTTAAGAACTTGTAAATATCAGATACAGATTCCCTTCAAAATAGGATGAAGGGATACGCATCTTGCTGGAAATTTTTGTTAGAGCATATGCTTTGCATGAAGAAGGGCTCTAATTTAAATCTTGGCATCTTCAGTTAAAAGATTCTGGATAACTAGTGCTGGTTAAGGTTAAGGTTAGGGTTAAGGTTTATAGTTATATAACACAATTCATATCTCAATTCCAAAGTGATTTGGATTGAATTAAAGTATTACAAGAAAATAAATTATCATAAAGTTACCAAGTAAAATGGCAGATTAAATAGCAGCACCAGTAATTAAAAATATGTCATTAATCATATTTAAACCTGAACAATTTTGCCTCGTGCCCTCAGACACTCTAGATCAGTGTTTCTCAACCTTGGTAAATTTAAGATGGGTGGATTTCAACACCCAGAATTCCCCAGCCAGCAAGTTGGCTGGGGAATTCTGGAAGTTGAAGTCCACCCATCTTAAAGTTGCTGAGGTTGAGAAACACTGCTCTAGCCAATTTGGGTAGACAATATATGTGGCCCAACTTCCAATTTCTTACTCTTCAATTCATCACATACCCCTTAGCCAGGGCTTCCATGTTCTCTAACAATTAAAAATTAAGGATAATTTTTAAAACTGGAAGCACACAACATATGTTCATATGTTTATAGAGGCAGGAAGGACAAAAGTGTCACCTTTTTTGGCTTCCTGTTTGGGTTGCAGGGCAAAAGTAGAATCAGGAGCAGAGGTTTCAAATTCTTCATATGTTTTCTATGTTTCAGTGGCCCAGGATGAGGATCAGGGTCAGGACTGGACCCTGCAAAAGTGCTGTGAATATGGCATGCTCTGTCATGACTGTGAAAAGCAAGTAGGATTCATGCCAGGTCAGAATGCCTGCAAGAATATCTTCCTTGAATGCTGCCGCTTCCACAAGAACATCCAGAATGTGAAGCAACGAGATAAACGATCAACAGGCAGGTAGAGAGATCTTGAGAGACTGTCTGAAGGAACAAGGTCAGGAACAGAGAAATGTAGGTCACAGAAGGCTTGACTAGCTCATCTTTCTGAATGCAAGGAAATGATGGATTGTTCTTTGTTATTTATACAGGACTAATAGTTCATATGAGAGTCAGTTTGGAGTAGTGGTTAAGGCACCAAGCTAGAAAATGGGAGGCCATGAGTTCTCGTTCTGCCTTAGGCACAAAGCCAGCTGGGTGACCTTGGGCCAGTCACTCTCTCTCAGCCCTAGGAAGCAGGCAAGGGCATACCACTTCCCAAAATCTTGCCAAGAAAACTGTAGGGACTAGTCCAGGCAGTTGCCAGGAGACTCGAAGGCCACCAAACAAACAAAAAAAGTTAATATGGTACTTCATTTTAAAAAAAGAAGTCGTCCGAAGGTTACTCTCTTGATTTTGCAGAGTAGAAGGCAAAGGACTGGGAAATTGAAGGGGAATTTTAAAATGTGGTACGTCCCTTGTCTTTATTTTGGTGATGGGAGAAAAGCCTATGGAGTTAAACCAGCAGTTCAAAGACAAAACTGGTTTTGAAACAGTACTTCAAGGAGGAAGACAGAAGTGGTACCACCTGGGAATGGGCTTCTAGGCAAAGGAGCCAGAGAGGACATAAAGGTTTATAATGTAATATAAATGTATTTTTTGTTATTTCTGAGTAGAATAGTAGAATAGACATTTCTTTTTCTGAACATCATATGTCTATCTGGCCAAAAAGAATATATTTGTATATATCTGGCCAAAAATACTGTATATCTGGCCAAAATATATCTGGCCAAAAAGAATGTAAACTTTATCTTATAAGCATTATGAATTAGGGCTTCGTATGGCATGTTATGAAATAATTCAAAAAGCGTTTCAGAGCTTGAGCAAATGCAAGCCTGGCAAAGCAGTCTGTCGTTTAGACTTCTGTGTGAGCATAGAAAAAAAGTTGTGGCTGGAACCCAGACATTCAAGTGAAATAAACTCTTAATGGGTCTGAAACACAGAAGCCTGAAAAATGCCAGACGGCTTTCATGAATAGCGGAGATGAGCTGGGCATAGTTTGAAACAGTTTTTCCAAATTATTTTTGAGACAAGCGCTGCCCAGTTATCTATAGGAAAGTAAATTACTTATTTGAGCTAATGAGCACTTGTATAATGGCTGGGGCAGGACCTATAGCCACACCCACCACCTGCAACACTACTGATGTCAACAGAAACTGCATCATGATGTAGAGTATTAAATCATTAACTTTCTATACTTTCCATGTACTTTCCATGTTTACTTTTGAATTTGAACTTATAGAATTGGCAGAATCCACATATCCTTTAGCTCAGCCATGCTGAGGAATGCAGTAGTCTATTTACCATGAGTGGCAAATGTCAATGTTACAAATGATGTTAACATTCTGGAAACCCTTGGTCATCCAGCATCATCCTCTTCTCAATTGAGAAGATGTAGAAAGAACAATGGGCAATAAACATGGAGATATAACAACTTCATTGTTTGGCCTAGAATGCATTTTCTCTGTCCTTAAGGAGAAAGATTCCAGGGATGAAACTTTGGACCAATTTTTCTACCTTTTGAAGAAATCACAGAAATAACTTCATCATTATTAAATCTATAATATGATCTATTTCCTTCCCAGAGGTTTTTATGGATGAGTTCATGTTGAATGAAGATATAATCATCAGGTCTCTATTTCCAGAGAGCTGGTTGTGGCAATCACTGCAGCTGTATACATATCCTGAAGGGTATGAAGCTTCTAGAGAATATCTATAGTCTCTTTGGGTGCATGATGCTACAGTGTTATTAAGAGGGTCCCAAAAGGAACTGGGTAGACTCCATTCAGCTCAGTACTTCTTATGCAGCACCTTCTTAACTGTTGCTTGTGCTGTTCCATTTTATGTTTGAAAGCCATTAATGAAACGTCTTCAAAGTGTTGTTTGGCAAAAGGCCTTACAAGCTCAAGAAGGGAGGATTTTCATAGTAAGCAACAAGAAGCTGAACAAAATGCCAAAACATCAGTTGTCTGTAGGTTTGGTCAGCTGGAAGGTACCTGTTGTAGAGGTCAAAATTTAAAACAACTCCTGTATTGACATAGCTGTTTGCGGTATCTTTATTTATAAAGCTTAGAACATTGATCAAACAGATGTCCTGAGGTCATAGCATTATGCATATTTCACCCATATCTTTGGGTGTTGCTGTGGGGAATACTGAAATAAACAGTACTGTGTCATCATCAGGGCCTAGTTAAGTTGTTTCTAATGTTACAGAAACAGAAGACAGTTCTGTATCTCTCCCACATGCATACTGACATCCCATCTTAGACTGCAGCTCTATAACATGTTCTGAAGTGTGACATGAGATGGATTTGTTTTATATCCAGGGGTTCTTCTGAAATACGATTGTTTCTGAAGGATACCATTACCACCTGGGAGACAGTTGCTGTGGGCATTTCAAAGGAAACAGGTAAAGCAGTCTCCAGAGAAGGCAGGGTGAAGGGTTAAAGGCCGCTGAGGTGATGAGGCCAGTTATTTGGAAAAGGCAAACTGGATGCACAAAGCTTTTAATTCTCAATCTGCTTCCTTTTCGTTTGACCCTCCTTGCAGGAATCTGTGTATCTGAACCTTATCCAATAACAACATGGAAAAATTTCTTCATCGATCTACAGCTGCCCAATTCAGTAGTGAGGAATGAACAGACTGAAATTCAGGCCATTCTCTACAACTATCAGGAAAAGGACATCACGGTAAATGTTGACAAGATGATTCAGTTAGAAGTGAGACATTATGATGCTAGAAATTCGCTGGAATGCAACACTTGGATCATGCAGCCCCATAAATCTTTCAAATGTTTTGCCATAACTTTCTGTGGGCCACTGCAAGAAATTCAGAGATCCCCAGTCATGCAGCACATCCCCTTAACTGAGGGACAGTGAATTGGGCATCACCTAGACAAGTTCATTCTGTAATACTAATGATGATTACTTAGTACACTATTTACAGCAAGTGGTAGGTAGAATGTAGCCAGTTAAGATCTTTTAGCTACCCTTAAGATGTTTTCCTTCTTTTTTGTCATTATAAAAAATTATCCTTCTCTGATTTTTTCTTCTAATATCTAGACAAATACATAATAACATATCATATCATGATACATACAGTATCAGTATGCAATATTCATACTTTTCAAATGGGACCATCTGTGTAAAATAAATTATGCATCTTCTTTTAAAATGTTTATTATGGACAGGTGGGGGTCCAAACTTGCCCCTTTTTTATGTGTGCCATATGACACACATTAAAAAGGAGCGAGGCTTTGATCTTGTGGTTGCAAATGCCATCTTGACTTTTTGGACCCCTCTTGCATTTGCCCCTGTTCATACTTTACATCCTTTCATCCTTTACAGTAGGATCAGTGGCGAAAGGAGTTGCTATGATAATACCTCTTCCTTCCCATTTAAGTGTTTGAATGCAGTAGCTGTTTGTTCTGTAATTTTGCAGAACTAAAATGCAGGTGAGTAATTCAGCCTTGACTGGAATAAGGCGTCTAACCTTTGCTATTATTATTTGTTATTGTTATTTCGAATAACAAAAACCTCATTCGTTTATGAAATGTATCTCTGAAAAAAAAACACCCTCCACCATATAAAGTTGTATATAAATGTGCGGGGGCGGGGGGAGCAGTTTAAAGCCTGCATTAGGAAAAATTATATAATAAAGAATGAGTTTAAGACTGCAAAATGTTTCTACTAAGAAAATTTTAAAAGCTAAATAAAGAGAAATTGCACATGAAAGCTCCATAGCAGAGAAAAGATTTTTAGCATATGTTTTTGGAAGGGTTTGTCTAATTTTTAACCTTTTGTAAAGCAGAAATCCATTAAAAAGCCCTGATACTGAAATACTGTATTACTAATGTGGATAATAAAATAAACTTTCTTTACACAGATCAACATATTTGTTCTCTAGCAGTAATCAGTAGTGTAAGTTGCCAGAAGCTGGAAAACAACAGTATCCCAGAACTCTCTTTGTAGAATTTATAGTATTTTTATTTATTTTTGCTATTTATAATGCATGTACTATGTCAGATATGAGCACTCCTTCCCTCTTTGACCAGAAATATACATGACCAAGATTATCTCCTGCCAAGCAAGGCTGACAAGTCCAGGAAACAAGAACCTCTTGGATTTCTGGAAAAATCTTTATTGCTAGTAGGGTAATGTAACAGAATCTTGAAAGACTCTCAAAGCAATTCTCCAACAACCTACACTTAGGGTAATTAAGGCAGAGTTACTCTGAGTCTCTTTCTCACATTTCCCCCTCCTTTTGACTCAAGAATCTCCTTGTCTCCTCCCTTGTCTGGCTTGCTACATCCTCTGTAGGTCTCTTAGGCATCCCATTCTACCTTCTCTCTTTTTCCTCAGGTGAGAGTTCATTGGCTGTATAAGGACAATTTCTGCAGTGCCTCCACTGCCAAAGCAAGCTATCAGCAAGTGGTCATTGTTAAATCCCAGTCCTTCATAGTACTGCCATTTGTCATAGTCCCCCTGAACTTGGGGGAGCAGAACGTGGAGGTTACGGCAGCCATCTGGAACGAGTTTCTGGGTGATGGTGTACAAAAGAGATTTACAGTTGTGGTATGTAATGAGTTGGATCCTTTAACTTCTTTGGGAGAAGGAAATTTCAGAGATACTTGGATTCTTGATATCAGGTTCATTGTGCCCCTCCTGTCTCTCCCATGCTTTTTTATTTTCATTTGTTACTCCTTGGAGAACTGAAGGAGCCATTCTTGAGGCCTTCTTTCCTTGAGAGTCTGTGTGCTATAGCAGGTGGAATGTCAGACTTGGCTTGAGGAGATGAGGTTTGAACCCCAGTTCTTCCATGAAATACACCTAGGTGATCTTGGCTCAGTTACTTAGCCTAACTTCTCATGCTATCCACACACTAGTATTAAAACATATCTTGGGTTCCTTGGGGAAATGGCAGAAGGTTGCTGGGCTTTATCATACTTAGGTTTTTAAATCCCTGCTTGTTCTTCCATTCTCAAAAATCCTTTCTTCCTGGCTGTTCAACCCCTACTTTTTTGGCAGTAACTGGCAAGGGAACCAGAGCAGTGGTTCTTCAGCCACCAGTTCCCCATTCCCACAGATCACAGATCAATCCCACTTCTCTTGACAGTTCTCTGATCCCACAGATCATGTCTACAGATCAGGTGCAGGGGAGGGGCTCTGCTTTCCCAAGCAGAACATACTTAACCATCCCACATGGATCAGAATGCATTCACTATCCCTCTTCATCCTCTCATCCTCCCCACAGATTTGTCAGTCAGGGTTGGTGGTTGTTTTTGGCTTTTGATGCAGAAATATTGGTCTTCCAGAAGACTGATATACCTGCATCAAAATGAAACAAACAAAGAAAATGCCTCAGCTGACACTTTGGAGAAGTGGAGGATGGAGCAGGAGGAAGTGAGCGATTAAGAATAAGGGTAGTGGGGGGCTGACCCTTCCTGCCAGGTGTTGGATTACACAGATCAGCTGCATGCACTGGGAAACATAGCAGGGAAAGAACCTTTGCCATTGCTTTGTTGCCCCCGATCACTCTTTGGTGACCAGTTTTCTGATCACTTTGTGGAGAATGGAGAACTGAGGATCTGCTCCCTAGGCTGGCAGAGGTGATAGAAAAAGTAGGAAATAATGCTTTTTGGAACAGTGGGAGCCCTGCTGGGCAAGACCAGAATAGTGCTGGAAAACTTTGCCCTGGGAACCATAGGCAAGGGAGTTAAGGGAGGGGAAGGGACATGTTTGCAGCAGCCTCTGATGGCCAATAGCAGCTGGGCTGACTGGGTCATCACCAGCATCGTTGTGGAGGTGCTTGTATAACAAGACTTGTGTTAAGATAAGAAATGAAACATTAATGAGACAGCAATATTCAAATGCATGCTGCCTCCAACAATGGGCTAGGGATAAGATGAAGGTGATGTCATGAGGACATAACCTACAAAAACTTGTTGCTATTAGCAGGGCATGAGAATGACCTGTAAGTGTAAAACAGTGTTGAAGAAAGGATGCATTTAAAATATGATTTTCATATAGAAGTTCCTGGTATCTCAGTCCTATCATCTCCTGTTAAAAGGAGATCAGAAAATCTATTTGAAAGACATCATAGATAATGCAAATGTTACCTAAATTATTTTACGTCTAACAGAGTCAGCTTCAGCTCTAACAGGGCCAAGGCCTGCAGGCAAAGTATTCTTGGGTGGGTTGACCTCCTTCATCAGTGGCCTCTTGTGGCTTGCCCAACTACAGAGGTGGTATTCCAAGGAATCAGTGCCCTAGGTTGACTCAAGGTTAAAGCCCCTGTGGAAAATGTAAAGGGTTCCCCAGCCCTATGCAAGTTTATTCTGAAAGAAATTCCACTCTGCCTACATCAGATTGTAATCCTAGTTAGGAATACATGAAAATATCCTAACATTTCTCCCAAGTTATAGCCAAATATAAGTAAGCTATCCTGCATTTTGTCTCAAAAATGAGAACTCATGGACTGGCTTCCATTCTGTGTTGCTGCTTTGAGTTGCGATGGCTACCTTGTTTGCAGTGAGAGCTTGCTAAAAGACAATTCCTCTTCTTTCTTCCTCACCAGCCAGAAGGGATGCCCCAGGAGATTGTAAAAATTGTTGACTTGCATCCAGCTCAGAGTAGAAATGGTGAGTAACAGTTGGTTATTGTTCAAAGCTCCCCTTTCCACTGTTTTAAATCATGTGAATGCCTATATTTGTGTCAAAAAAGTAAATTCAGTTTAATATATCCAATTAATATTTCCAATTTTTCAATTTTTTGGTAGTCATGCTTTTACAACAGAGAGGTTGTTGAAACTCATTGGCATATTACTGCTTTTGGCTAGCAATGAGTTCTGTGCAGTTTTGGCTGAATTTTGTAAATACCTCTTTGTCACACAGTAATCCTAAAAAAAAAAAAAATCCCACTTCTCTAAGTTTTGAACATATCTATTTGTTCAATGCTAGGCCAGTCAGATGAAGCACATACAGGAAGTTCTCAACTTATGACCACAATTGGGACCAGAACTTCAGTCGCTAAGCATTGTGGTCGTTAAGTGAGTCACACCTAATTTTACAACTTTTGCTGCAGTCATTAAGTGAATCATGCAGTTGTTAAGTGAATCCAGCTTCCCCCATTGACTTTGCTAGTTGGAAGCCCCTGGGAATGTCACAAATGGCAATCATGTGACCCCCAGTATGCTGCAACCATCATAAATACATGCTGGTTGCCAACTAGCCAAATTTTGATCACATGGCCGTGGGGATGCTGCAATGGTCATATGTGCGAGGACCAGTCATAAGTCACTTTTTTCAGCACTGTCGCAACTTTGAACAGTCATTAAATAATGGTCATAAGTCAAGGACTACCTATACTATAAAAATCAATGAGTAGTTTTGTTCTCCAGGAAAAAATTGGACACTAATTATGTTATTATTAATAGATAATCTTTTAATGTTTTATTCATTTATTTAAAATATTTTTATACTGGCCTTCCTCATACAATGCCAAGGCAATTTACCAAACACAAACAAACAAAAACATCCCAACCACCCTCTTAATATTACATCAATATGCAACCATACAATACAGAGGCAATTGCATTCAATTTAATACATTTTCTTAAATTAAAATATCTGGGCAAATGTATAAATTTTGATCTGGTACCAAAAAGTATAAAAAGTGATGTGAGCAGATAACTTTAGTAAATTGAACTCCTCATGACCAAGATTAGCTGGAACTTAAGTGGATAAAAAAGGGCACATCTGGTCTTTCAGGGAAAATGTAAACCCATCTGGCTGAACATTCAGATAGGATAACTACCCTCCATAGAGCAACATGAGATTCACCTCAGTTTATTGACCCTCATCCAGCCATATAAACTAGTTCTTTTCTGCCTCAAATAGACCTTCTGTGCAGCACAAGACTAACAACCAAGTGCTATTCCTGTATTTTAAGCTCAGATCAAAGAGTATTAAACTCATGTTTAAAAAACAGGTCTAGTGCTACTTCAAAAGAGCGCTAATCCCCTTTGTATAAAAGGCACACTTTCCAAGACATCCATCAAGCCTTACATGGGCAAATGCATTTGCAGTAGCCGGTTGTGCAGCTGGAGCCAAAATAGTTATGGACAGCAACAACCAGAGGGAGAAAGAGGCATGCCTGAAGCAGCCTAAATGGGACACTAGAAGCCGGGCAGATTTGTCATCAATCACATCATTGATAAAGCATCCTAGATCGTGTACATGGTCCCAGTTGGGTTAGAAGAGAGAAAAGGCAACTTTAAAACTGGCACAGCTGAATGCAACTATGGCCCAGGGACAAGGCACGCCCTTTAAAGACAGTTCAAGGGAAATCTTGTTCATGGTTAGAGTTAATGGTTAGAGAGACTTGAGTTCAAAGTCTTTTTTTTTAAAGAACTTTATTAATTTTCAGTATAAGATAAAAAGACAAGAAGAAAAAAGAAAATAACAAAGGGAAAAAAATACAGCAGAAAAGAGAATAAAGAAAGTGACTTCTGACTTTCTTTGGTACAGATGTAAATATAAAATACATTCACCTCTTACTCTAATATTTAAAAGACTACAATACACATCTATATCAATAAATAATATAAAACAGTTCACTACAAAGTATCTCTCAAATTACAAAATAAATCATTCATCAAACCCATCAAATCAATATTTCATTTTTTTGAGTCTCAAGTAAAAAGTACAAGAGTGGTTTCCAAGTAGAAACAAAGCTAGACAGTGTCTTTTCCTTGATGAAAAAAGTCAATATTGCCATCTCCATGAGTTTCATTAATTTCAATATCCATTCTTCTGCTGTAAATATTCGTAAATCTTTCCATTTTTGCACATATAGAAGTCTTGCTGCTGTTATCATGTAAAGAAACATGAGTCCAAAGTCTGAGGAATTTGTGTCTCCTTGTAATGTTCCTTCATTTCTCATATTTTTAGGAGTGCAGGTAATAAGGATCCCTGCCTATGAATTAACAGATATTGTACCTTTGTCTCCATTAGTGACCAGAATTACCCTTGCACGTAAGTTTTGTCATGGTATGAAATTCCAGGGTCAAAACTGAAAGAACTGAAAAGCCATTTTCTCCTTCTGTCCTCCAATATTCCCATGGATATAATGGTTCCATACTACTAGCCCCTGAACTGGATCCCATAGCTAATTGCCATAGCTCCTGTTTCCCCAGAGAAAATGGGGAATATTCGGGCCTGCATCATGGCAATAAGGGCAGCAAAACATCGTTATTTCTCCACTCTTATTGCATCTGCCAATAACCCTCCAGCAGCCCTGTTTTAAATCACTAGCTCCATTAGGGTGAGTCAGGTTGTGGGACCACCCACAGGACCATGATAAGGAATTTCCATGATAGTTGGCAGATAAAGTCACCAGGAATGGGTGCACTCCAGGTTCCTTCTATTAAACTTTCCCATTTTTTAAGACCGAGGAAGTGTGCCTTCTCTGCCACAACCCCGACCTTCTAGAACACCATCCCCCCAGAGTCATGGAATGCATCCACTCTCCTAGGATTCCAGAAAGCCCTTAAGACCTGGGGTTAATGTGGGTGTGTGCTATTGCTCAGGCCCCTATCGTATTGTTATTTTGTATTATCTGTAGTGTTTGTTGTTCAAGTTGTTTTAGTCTAGGCTGCCTGTTTATATAGGTTTTAATTGTTTTACTCTTTTTATGGATTTTGTAAGCTACCCAGAATCTTCTGGAGTAGACAATCCTAATAAATTGATTAGATTAGATTAAATTAAATTAAATTAAATTAAACTAAATTAAATTAAATTTTGTCACCAGGAAATCCCCGTGCTGAATTTATTGAAACTTATATAAATATGGACAAAGTGCATGGATTCTTCATAACCCCTGATGGTGATGAAGAGACGAACATAATTGCCATGACACCACTAACTAGTGTTACCCACTATTTCGACAATACTGGGCAATGGGACAAGATTGGAACTGATGATAGGTCTGATGCGATCCAGAAAATCATGCACGGTAAGGCAAACAGGCCTCTCTCTGAGCTGTTTTCTATATCCGTTGATAGCTTCTTTAGGCACTCTAAGTTGATCAGAGAGGACTGTGAATATTATGTCAGGGCATTCTTCCATTCTTTCAGACATGAAGACCTCCAGGTGCAACCAGCTGGAAATTGTGGTTCAAAGTGTATGAAGTTGCTTTGGGACACTATGCAGAGTTCTCTGATCCTCTGCTCAGCCAGTTTTTGTTAATCTATTAAATTGCTACATCAGCAATTTCAGAATTGTCCTTGCTTCCTTTCAAGATTCCAGCTGGTATCTTAGCTGCTTGAATCTCCATGCTGAGAACCCCGAAGGCAATGGGTGAAAAGAATGTGGGATGGAATGAACACACAAAGAGAATGCAGAATCCATGAGATGAGATGAAACTGGGCAGTTGAGAGAAGGGTGAAGAGGAAGGCCTCTTTCCATGTTGATCAAGCTGATCTAACATTTCACACTCCTCTTTCTCTCCCCATCTTGCTCCATGTTTTAGGCTACAGACTGCAGCTGAGTTTCATGCAAGTGGACTACTCCTATTATCCCCATAGGGGCACCAAATCTAGCACTTGGTAAGTGCAGTGCTTACATAGTCATGCCTTTTTATTATGAATTATCATCCCTCTCTTATAAATTCTGTTTAAGGATTGATTTCCTAGAGTGTTCTCTCCCACCCCTCCACACGCTGCTTTTTCCTGTTTCTCTGATATCTTTCTATTTATAAACCCATATTTCATCCACTACATGATGTTTTAGCAGAAACTGAGAGTTCAAGAGGACTCCCAGATAGTGTAACAGTTCTGTCTGGGAGATTGCAATCCCATCCAGAGCTAAAGAAGAGTCCCCAGAACCAGGGACCTCAAACCACAACCACCTGATCTTGCTTGGGTTGAACTGTTCTTCCCCATCCAAACCCCCACAGCCTTCAGACACTGGTAAAGAACCTTGACAACATCACTTGCTCATATTCATGATAGCTGATCCTGTACCAATGAATGATCTCACCCAGCAGTTTCATCCAGATATCAGATAGAAGTAGGGAGATAATACCTGAAGAACCAGATAAGACCCCTGAAGAACCCCACAAAGAAATGGTGTCAGGCTTGTAATCTCTCCCTACCCCCACCCCCCAACTGGAACTAGCTTTGGAGGAAGGAGGAGACCATTGCAGTATCATGTCTCCCACTCCTAAACTTTGAAGCTGGTCCAGAAGCATACCATGAGCATACCATGGATTTCTCAGCTTCTGAGAAATCAAGGAGGACCAGTATGGATGCACTATTCCCATCCCAGTCTTATGAAGTGAGATTAATGCCATCTCAGTCTGATCTGAAGCCTGACTGAAAAGGGTTCTCCATTTTCTCCAAAGTCCTCTGGAGCTGTAAATTGATTACTTTCTCAACAACCTTCCCTAAAAAGGGAAGGTTGGAGACTGGATATAAAATATTCATTACCATTGAATCCCAGGATGACTTCTTGGGGAAGGGATGCAACACTGGCTCTTTAAGAGCCAGAGAGCATTTCTTTGCTACCAGATCTCCAATCCCATGGTGCGAATTGGGAAACTGGCAGCTGAAGACCTATTTCCCTCCTTCTTTCCCTCTGCAGTCCAGGGCAGCAAGAATAAGGGATGGAAGGAGAAGGGGGAATGGGTCTCTTCTAGGGGGAAACACTGGGAAAAGAAGCAGCAGAGAATGGCTCCTTTGGTGGCAGTCTTCCATGGGATCAGAGAACTGCCAGCAGAAGACCTAACTGGCACCAAACAAGGTGTTCCCCACCTTGCCTATCTCTTCCTCCCATTTCTGGTGGAGGCAGAACCCTTATTCTGGGTCATTGCTGATGTAGAGTAGGGGTTGCAAACAGAGATTCTACTTCCTCTCTTTTCTTTCCTGCTTACTTATTCCTTTTCCACATTCTATTAGGGTTGCTTACTCCAAAAGAGAATAATATGCTAAAGCATTTTACTTGTTCTGAGCCACAAATCTTGAACTTTGGGCTGCCACTCTCTAAGTGCATACTGACATAGTCTAGACTTCTGCACTTTATCCTATTCAAGAGCACTTCAAACAGTAAGATAATATCTCTCTTTATGGCATAAATCACCACAATGGATTGTAAAGACAAAGTTATGACGAGTAGGATGGGAAAGGGCACCACTGCTCCACATTGCAGAATGCTTTCCTCATAATGTAATCCTCAGGGTAAATTAAATTATCAAGTGAGTATAATATGTGATATTTTGAAAAAGCCACCAATTTTACATAGTAAAGGTAAGTAACTAACGAAATTAAAAATGCTGACGCACTCTGTTCTTCATAGGCTAACTGCATTCATTGCAAAAGTCTTTACCATGGCTTTCAAAGTGGTGGTTATTAATAATAGCCCAGTCATTTGTGGAGCTATACAGTGGCTAATTCAGGAGAGGCAAAAACCAGAAGGAATTTTCCATGAAGAAGCACCTCCACATTTTCCAGCAATCATGGTATTATATTTTTTCCTGTTGTTAATGGTATTTCACTTGAGTGATCAGTGGATTTTTACAATTTTTACAACTTTACAATCTAATTACTAACTTAGAAGAATACAATACATTAATTAATTACAGGATGTCTTGAAGCCAGTTGGTGAATCAGTTATTATTTTTTGTCTGATGATAATTGCAGGTTTTGAAGCTAAAACAAAATAGGGAGTAAAAGTGCATTTTCCTGCTGTTGTTGCTACTTGACATAAGAAATGCTCTGAGTATTATATTCATAAGCTTGTTCTTACTTAAAAGACACTGTTCATGGTTAGCACTAAAATTAACTTTGGATGGAAAGGGAACTTAGTGATTAGAGCGTCTGAGCAAAAACTGGAGTTAGTAAGCATCAAAGCTAAATAATCCATTATATTTTATTCTGTTCTCACTATCCAAACAGTGGATAGCAATGAAAGCAATTTGCATGAATTTGTGATGTCTCTCCATAGAGAAACTACTCAGTGGTATGTTCCCTTTCCCTTGCAGTCATTTATGTTATTTCTTGCTGTGACCTTTAAGCTGGCTTTCACCAAACTTTGCCCACATTTTCATATTTTTGTTTCTCGGCAGCATCTGAGACTGTGACTGGCAAATCCTTGGAAAAACTTTTTCATCAGCACTGCGATTAAATTATATCATTTTACTTTCTTCTAGGGAGGCCTTGAACATGGTGAACCAAGTGTATTGTTAACAGCTTTTGTCCTGATTTCAATAGTGGAGTCCAAAGAAATATGCATTGAAGGATTTAGCGTAAGTATTTTTGAACCAATGGATGTTTTTACTACTTTTTTTGGTCATATTCCCATTGCGCCTGTCATTCATTCCACAGAAAAGTATAAAAATGGAACGGACCTCTTGGAACTGCTTTCTTTCCCATTTGTGGTATATGATAATTCCAGCCACAGTGAAAGAAAAAGAATCTTGTTTTTTCATTACCTTTAATTTTTGTTACTCTGTAGCACAGGCTATTTATTTCTTGACAGAATTACTATTTGAAATTAAATGAATAATGTCTCCCATTTTCTCCCAACACTCCTAACAAACACTGTTGTTATTGTTTTACTCCAGGGTTTGGAGAACAGTATCACCAAAGCCAAAAACTATTTATCTGAAAGATATGAATCACTGACACAACCTTATACTGTGGCTGTTGTTTCCTATGCTTTAGCCCTGGCAGGGGGGCTGACTGATGAGACAGTACTCATGACAGCTTCCACAGGTATTAATTGGAAGCTTCCTGAAGAGAAGAAAAGTGCTGGGGGGAGAGGGAGAGAGACAGTAAAGAATGAAAGAGGAATGCAACAAGCACGGTCAAATAAATAGGTGTTAGGGTTGATATCTGGGTTAAATAAAGTGATGCTGGAGTCCAGGACTTCTGCTTGGATAGCAAATGTTGCTGTTGTTTAGATTTAGAGGCCACCTGACTCCAGACTGGCTTTGGGCAGCTTACACTTAAAAAATAGAAACAATAAACAGAAAACCCTACGCGTTTGGACAAACCACATTCCATATACCATACAACACACCCACCAGGAGCTTTACAAGCTCCCTACTCCAAGGTCTAGGAAATGTCCCCCTTCCCTTCCATTACTTAACCAGGATAGCCACCACTCTTCAGTTTGATTGGAAAAAGCTTGGTGGAGTCTCCTCAAAGCCATTCTTCATGCTGCAGAGGACTTCAGAGCATAGCCTCACCTTTGCAGCTGATGCAGTGAGCTGCAAGTGTGGGCAGGTTTTTCATAGACCGATTGTATGGAAAAGTCTATATCCTACATTTTCATTTTTTTTTAAATCTCAGATCAGGGTTACAATTCAATTCAATGGATATTTTGAGACTGGCCATGCTCACAATAGTCACCATTTTATGAGAGTGGCCATAATATGTTCTTGGCCCAGGACGCTTGAGACCGCTGCCCTAAACATTTCATTCTCTGCTGGGATTTAGAAAGAAGTCATTGGGAAGATCAGAACAATCATAATGTTACTGTTGAAGGTACATCCTACGCTCTGCTAGCCTTGCTGAGAATGAAGAAATTTGAGTATATTGAGGCAGTTATCATGTGGCTGATGTGGCAAAACTATATTGGGAACATATATGAAAATACCCAGGTGAGTGATCAGGTATTGTTCCTTGCTTGCAGACTACAGACAGTGGGTTTCTGAAGAACAAGCAGAGCTGCTGAAAGCATACTTGCGGTCTGTGCAAAACTGTCAGGGGAGAACTGATAGAGGGAGACTTTGCTACCATGAGATCTGCAACAGCTTATGGCTGAAGGTGCTGGCCACCTCAGCCTGAAGTAATTAGCATGTGTGGAATAAATGAATTTGCTTTCATTATTGGCTGAACTATCATATTATTAATTTAATGTTTTGAAAGTACATGAAAAGGCTATGTAGTATATGCAGGATAATCCAAGGCAGGCTGTACCTGCAGGCTTCCAACACATAAACTGGAACGATTTCAGAGAGTTTTGCCCTGTTCTAAAAAGGATCAAAACTGGCAAGCATGAGCGACTTGTCCTTCCACTTCAGGGATAAATCCATGAAGAGTTGTACATTCCTAGATTTTTGGGGCATGCACTTTGTTTCCTGTACTGCCTTTCAGGCATCATCAGAGGCTCCTTGGACAAATCCTTGTGTTCCCAACCATGGCGTGACCATGGCCCAAGCCTGCTGTTTAGGCCTAGTCCTCATGATGTTGGCTTTGCCTCATCCCTACCCCACAGCTGCAGCAATTCTTTAACTGTACCCGTTTTAAAGTAATGTTTCCCCCCTTTTGCTATGGATACAATATTTATTTTATGCTGACTTCCCTGCTGCTTCAAGGATTGAGGTACTATATAGCATTTTAACATGGCCCTCTGGCTGCATCTTCTGAGACCTGCCATAAAGGAACTGGAAGGCTTCCCGTGGCCATGGATCTCGCATTGCCTACCCATTTTAGCAAATGATGCTAAGCCAGCCCCTATGCAGGCTTTATTGTTCTTCACATGTGGCTTTTTCTTGCTCCTCCAGATATTGCAAAATGTTGCAATCAAAAACAAGAATCATTCTTGCACAATCTTCTATCAGTTGTCTCTGAGGCATTCAAGACAATAATTATGACATTTCTTCCTTAGTTTATCCAGGCTTATCTGGAGTTTATAATGTTAGACAAGGCCGGGGTGCTATTAACAAACCTCAAGTGGCATGCTGAACCATATTACTTCTTAGTCTAGCTCAAACCAATAATTATCTGCTGTGCTGATGGATGACTTTGTTGGGGTTAATCAAAATATTACACCTAGGCAAATTATGTGTGATAACAGAGATGTATGAATTAAAAGACATGTTTGTCTTTTAAAATTTTCTTCAGATGAAAGTTGAGACAGCATTGGAGATGGGGAATGGAGGTTGCCCTTTCCTTCTATGCCGTTTTCCAAATTTGTTTTTAAATCTCTACCGTCATTGCCATCAGCTGCTATTTCCCTTGCAGGAAAAGCATAGGAAAAACCTTGAAAATAGCATTAATAGGGCATTTTAAAAAAAAATCTTTATCTTGATGTCTTACTGGAAAAAAATATTTGCAATTGCAGATTTAAGAGCAAAACCACTGGGAACATTGAAAAATGTTAGGATTTGAAGGCAACAAGATGCTTCATCCTGTACAGGGTCAAGTAAGCCATACCTTTGGGGAGATCATACAGCTGCCCTGTGCAGCTTTTATCTGAACCTGGGAAGGGACATTTGGTTTAAGCAGTTGCAGACAGGTGCTCCATTCATCACCTTTGCAGCTCTGAAGCAGCTTTTCATTTTTTAATCTGAAGCCCTCCATATCCCACTCACTACTACGAACATGCTTCCTGTAGAAAGTGCGGCAGTGTTAAATACCCTGGTATTTTTCTTCAGTAGAACTTCAGTTCTTTCACTGTAGCATCTCCTGTCTAACTCCATTTTTCTTCCTGTCATTCCAGTCAACCACCATGATTCTGCAAGCTTTTACCCAGTACCATCTGGACATGACAGCCTCTCAGGACCAGAATATGTTTGTTTCTGTTTTTCTGCCACACAGAACTCCAGTGAGGTACAAATTTGATGAGAATATGATCATTTCTAGGTCATTAGAGGTATGTTATTTCCTTGTCCAATATTATGTATTACCAATATTGTGCATTATGCATTATTCTTTGTGTAGATTGAGAAGGCTCAAGCTAGAGAACCCTTTGAATCTGGAGGTTTCGTCGGAATGAAGACTCATACCTTATAATGTCACGACCCAAGCTGTCTCCCTTATATACATGCATGCAATGGCACAATACATGTATAAAAAGGTGGTGTTTGCATTACAATATTGTGATGCACATTTTGTCATTTCCCAGATGCCCAAGGTGGGACAATTATTTAAATCTCAGTAAAAATGGTGCCATTAAATATCACTGAAATGCTAAATTATTGTTCCTGCTGTTTTTTGAAAAACCTCCCTTCTCTGCAAACATACAAGCAAATAACTAAAAAAGTGCCTTACTCATTAAAAGTAAACTCCAAAATAAGGATACCTTCATATGCGGAATTTGCTCCATGCTTACATTGGCTGTGTCCTTATGAAGCCCCCCATTGTCTCTGTTTTACATTTGCAGCTCCCCACACTCAGACTTTTTCCTAATCAAA